TGTGTGTGTGTGTGTGTGTGTGTGTGTGTGTGTGTGTGTGTGAGTTGGTTGATGTAACTACAGTGACATACACTACTAGGTGTATTTCATTCATATTTTATCTGCAAGTGTAAAGCCAGTAATCTGTATGGGATTTATGATTGACTTTTCACTTGGAGACAAAATATGAAACAATATACCTTTGAGTGAGTTGGTGTAGCTAAAATAGCATACACTATTAAAGGGAGACACATTAATCAATTATGAGTCAATGATAAACCGTTTAATGATCTTTAATAAAATTAACATACTAAGATGTTAAACGATCCAACTTTGAGCCGAGATGCCAACCAACCAACTTGATATCAACTAATTAATCACACCTCCATCTATATCACCATCACTTTGAATAAGAGACATGCATATCTAGAACATACATCTTTTAAATCATTTGATCACCCATAGTTACAACTCTGGCTACTAGAGCTACTACTACTAAAATCACATTTCAAGTATTCAGTTTTAGATCTACTCAAATGGACTTTAGACTCCTATATTGGCCTCCATAATTTAAGTTTTTCCTAAACACTTTTTTTAGTCTTATCCACCAAAATTATATCATCGGTAAAAAGCATACACCAAGGTGCATCCTCCTATAAATGTCTAGTAAGAGCATCCATAAATAAAGCAAAAATATACGTGCTTAACGACTATCTTTAATGTAATTAAGGTTGTTAATGATCTGATTTTGAGTCGAGCTGTGGTCAACTCAAATTCGACTAAAAAATTTTGATCCAAAATTTTAGCTCATAGCTTCGCTCGTTTATTTCAATCTGATCTGAATTTGAGCCAAAATTTGAATCACTTTTTTGAGTGATTAACAATCTTTGAGCTGAATTCACTAAATTCATAGTCATATGTTGTTAATGATTCAATTTTGAGCCGAGCTGGGTTCAACTCGAAATAAAATTGATCCAAAATTTTAATAGCTCAACTCATTTATTTCGATCTGATCTTGATACGAACAAAAATTCAAATCACTCTTCGAGTGATTAATGATGTTCAAGCTAAATTCACAGCTCTAGATGTAATCCAACTAAAATAGGAAAATATTTGAAAACCTCACATTAGCTTAACCCTAAATCCTAAACGCATTATTGAAAGCAAATGAAAATAAAAACAAAAAATAAGATAACAAGTTACCTTCCTCGTTTGTTTCAGGTGGAAAAGGAGTGAAAGGAGGAGAAAAATGGGAGTTTCCAGTCACTCTAAGGTGCGATCTCGTTGCTATGTTTCCAGCTAGTTCCTATTCCAAGTGTATCGCAAGGGTTTTGGGGATGAATGTGATGGTTTTGGATGAAACAAAGAGGGGCATGATAGGGTTTTGGGGAGAGGTAAGGACTTTGTGTAGAGAAGACGAGAGTCAGGAGAAGAGATTAGGGCAAGACCAAATGGCAGGTGATTTCAAGCGGGATATAGGATTAGTTCCGACAGTCTATCTATAGCTTTTATTGCGACAATTATTAAAATGGCTATCATTGGTCATTCCCATTGATTAATAATAAAATGTGTCGGTTAAAGGCCCGCCAGATGGAAGTTTCGAAGATATCTAATGAACTATATCCTTTGGTTAATATTTTCTTATAACCAACAGGTTATTCCGTTAGTTATAATTAAAAGCATCCAGAAAACAATTGGTTATTCCGTTAGTTATAATTAAAAGCATCCAGAAAACAAAATACTGTTGATAAGCGATAATATATGTTTTAGTTATGCCGTTACATATAACCAAAATAAAAAACTATTGCAAACCATCAGTAATTAGAACAATTTTCTGACGTGTGAACAACCTTCAGGTTTTTCATTTGTTTTTGTGTTTTTTCTTATATTGGAAATTTGATCGCTGCAATGGCTCTCTACAACTACATTCAACGACATCATTCATGTTGTGACATTGACTTCAATAGAGTAGATAAAGATCATTCACATGCCCCTATTGAAGCTTATGAATATGACCTAAGATAATTTTTTATCAAAGGTTGAAAGTGATTTGCATGAGACTTACACCCAGGATGGGGAAGTTGTAGTGAAGATGATAGAGTTTAGAGAGTGAATTACAGATGTCATCCTTGACAGTTGAATGGAGCAATTGTATTTTTTTTTCGCGGTTAATTTATTTGCAAAGTGTTGTGGAAATGTTCATTATTTATTGTATTGATGATTTATGTAATGATGTACATTTTGAATGTCAAAGTAGAGAAAATTTTATATCCAGTTCTTTTGCATGTATTTTTTCCACTTTAATAGCCAATGAGACAATCCTAGGTATAATATGTAATATAAGTTTTTATTGCATGCTTTATTTTTTTATTTTTGGAGGTCTGTGATGAGATTTTTGACTTTAAGGGTTCTTCTGGATGGACTATATGTTGTTATTTGTTCTTAACACGTGTGAAATCCCAATGAAGGCAATCAATTTCCTCTCCTTTTTTAGTTCTATGACTTATGAGATCCTTTTGGATGACCTTTTTTAGTGATATGCATATATGACACATACGAGCTCGATATTACATAGTTAAAAGACAACAAAGACCCCTTTTTTAAGGTATATTGCATTCTTGTAGTGAAATATTCGTTAATTTATATTTTATTATCTGAGACCTTACAGTTTCATAAAACTTGAATTGAGTATTTTACTATTCTTCCTTAATAATGTTTCATCTAAGGGTTTGTGTTTCGTGGTTTTAAACCTTTAGAAAAAATGAGCTCAATGACTTTTAGTATCTCTAGAGCATTGTATTGTTACGGTCAACTATAATTTTCTTTGCTTATTTTGCGACAACCACATAGCTATGTGACAATTTTATAGGTGTCCAAGAAATAGAACAATGAACTGTGACTCCTTTAGGTGAGCATATTGGTTCGAGGATTTCACCTCCGATAGTGATCAAGCGTGGAGACTTTCGTTGGTGGAGAGATTCTCTCGTGACATTAGCCAAGTATATTTTAAAAATAATATTATGATATTATTAATTGTTATTTTAATAAGCCTATTTTTTAATTTTGATTGTTATGTTACTCACTGTTTTGTGAATTATTAGTTTTTACTTTATAACATTCACACTAGATATTTACTTTCAAGCATGAAATATCCCGACAAGAGGGGCAGAAAAGTTATTTGTTCAGAAATAACTACAGCATAACCAATACAAAATTACAAAAAACAAACATAACAGTTTCATCACACAATTGATGCACAATAGTTTTTTATGAAAGTATAACTATCTCAAATACATCATTGGTTATCCTTAATCCAATTTCCTAACTCGATTACGTTCCATATTACTATTTTCTTTTTCTTAGTGTGATGTCAAGTCACAAATGTCAATTCAAACACTATACTACATTATTCAACGACTTGTGCAGAAATTTGTAGAAGTTTTACAAAAATATTAATAAAGAAATTTCTCAACATAATTTATTATAAATTAAAATTTATACTTTTTTTGAAAATGTTAAAACTAAGGCTGAAAAGGCTAATTTGTTGCCCTTCAAATTTTTTTTCATACACCAATCTCAACGTAGATCAAAGCCCGAACGCGTCCCGCCGCCAGTTTCTTCCCATGTAACAATAAAAGGTAGATTTACATACCATGCAAGACGATACCATCGCTGGGATTGTATTCGGAAAGCTCAAACTTCACCTCGTTCCAACACACTCACGACGAGGTTGCATTTAGGCTTGTGAATTTAGCTCGAAGATCGTTAAGTGCTAGAAAATTGATTCGACTTTTTGCTCAGATTAAGATTGCCGAGTCAAAACTTTGGATAGGATTTTTTTCAAGTTTATTTCAAGCCATACACGGAACGAACTGGCTCGAGATTGACTTGAAATTTTCTATATCTAACACAAAAACTTCAATTTGTACATACAGACTATCTTATCTATATATTAAATATAGATAAAAATCAAAATTTAAAAAATACATATGTAAATATATATAAATTCAGTGGCTTGTATGTAAATTCCCCGACTATTTTCAATCTCACGTAATACGGAACCTTCGCTTCATTTTCCTTTTCTTAAAATATCGCGAATAATTAATCATCCACGCGATAACGCGACTACTTCAAACATAAAAATCACATTTTTTTCAACCTTTCACATCTTCTTCGTCCTTTCACAAATCCCCAATAAAATCAACCTCCGCCCTCCTCCCTTCAAACCAACTCCATATCAATGGCGGAACCAAAAGACACAATTCCTCTCAACGGCGCCTACTACGGCCCACCCGTCCCTGCCTACCCCGTTCCCAACCCCCGCCCCCACTCCTCCTTCCGCCGCCTCATCTTCTCCCTCTTCAAACTCCTCATCTCCATCATCATCATCCTCGCCGTCATCGCCGTCATCATTTGGCTCATCTTCCGGCCAAACAAACTCAAAGTCTACGTCGAAAACGCCAACCTCACCCAATTCAATTTCACAGGCAACAACAATAACAACAACAATCTCCTCTACAACCTCAACCTCAACGTCAGCATCCGCAACCCCAACAAAAAGATAGGCATCTACTACGACTACATTGAATCACTTGCAATCTACGATGGCTCGAGGTTTGGTTTCCAGGTGTTGGAACCTTTCTATCAGGGGCATAAAAATACCACTGTGTTGAACACGGTGTTTGGTGGTACCGGGATTTTGCTTGGCGACGCTCCGGCGACATATGCAAGAGAGAAGGCCGAGGGGTTTTACAACGTTGATGTTAAGTTTTATATGAGGGTTAGGTTTAAGGCGGGGGTTATCAAGACTCACCGTCATGTGAAGCCCAAGTTTGAGTGCAGCGTGAGGTTGCCGTCGCCGGCTGCCGGGAACTCGAAGCCGCCGCCGTTTGAAAGGACTAAGTGTGATGTGGACTACTGATGGCGTTGTTATTTTATTATTATTTTGTGTTAATTACGGTCTTTGGTTGTTTTTCTTTCGTGAGGTGGGTGCAGAACTTTATATGGGGAGTGGGTGGGATGAATATATGATAGTCTATTTGTTTATGTTTCCAGATTTTGGGTTTGCTATCTATGTAAATAAATAATTTAAGTTTGATTTTTTGTTAGAAACTTCTGTTTTTTTTTGCAAGTTTGACACGAAATTACATTTGAAAAATATTACTGGTGTTAAAAGTTTTCATCTTTGACGAAAGGGATGAGGTTCCATGTGAAAACATCAGCAGAAGCTCATTTGAATACTTTACCTACATACGGCCCGTTCTCTACACGATCAAACAAGAATAGAACTCCACTCAACAGTCTCTTACCTGCATGCTTTTGGCCACGCTAAGGTTCACTGCGTCGCCGGAATGAATGGCATTCCACCTGCCATGCAAGATGATACCATCGCTGGGATTGCATTCGGAAAGCTCAAACTTCACCTAGTTCCAACACACTCACGATGACGTTGCATTTAGGCTTGTGAATTTAGCTCGAAGATCGTTAATTGCTAGAAAATTGATTCTAATTTTCGCTTAGATTAAGATTGGATTGAAATAAAAGAGCCCCGCGACGAGCCAAAACTTTGGATCGGATTTTTTTCAAGCTTATTTCGAGCCATACACGAAACGAACTGGCTCGAGATTGACTTGAAATATTGTTTATTTATAAACATTGTATATAATGCTAGACAAAATTGAATCTAAAGAGCTACGAACTGATTTCAAGCTGAAATGGACCCAAATAAACTTAATTTGAGCCATCTTGTTTCGATTTTAAGTTCGTTTGAATCAATATAGGAATGGAGCCCAATAACTCAAATTTGAGCTAGCTCGTTTCGATTTCGAGTTGAACCGAGCTCGATTCAATTTCGAGCCAAGTTGGCTCAAAATCAAACAGAACGAGCCACGAGCCAATTTCAAGCCGAACTCAATCTATTTGAGCCAATTTCGAGTTGGCCCCAGATCAGCTTGCTAACAACTTACAACCCCCGTTGGCTAGCTGAAGACCATCGACCGGTATTACATTGGGTCGTCCAATAGCTCCTTGAACTTTATTAATTTATTATTATTATTATTTAATTTTCTTCGCTACTTGCTCCTCAGGAGTTTAATTTGTTTATAATGGCAAACAAAAGGCCTATTAATTTATAATAATAAACAGATAGTTCTAATTGCATAATTATTTAATACATCCAACTGTATATTTTTTTACCATCTAACTTATTAATGGACCATCTAGAAATTTCTACAATAATCTTCAAATAGAATTTTCGACAACCATTGACTTATTTGTTCGTTGCTTTATTTTAAATCTGAATTTGCTTAAATTGAATATAAGTTGATTGACAGTTTGGATTTATTTTAAATTATCACGCCGTAGTATCCAGTTCTGAATCAAGCAATATGCTTCGTAGATAAATTTAGTGTATACATACATATGACTATATAAGATTTTTTATGTGCATTCGTGAGCCCACTTGCTAAAGTGGTTGAACTAAATGCTCATCTGCCGAAGTGGCCGAACTCGTCTCTTTCATCTATGGGAGGCAAACTACGAGAGATATAGCTTCTAGTTCAGATGTCATCATTTACTAGCAAGTGTGCAGGTCCATCCATCTTTAAAAGCACCACTTGACATCCACGTCACGATATGCTTATCAAAACATCATGGATAGGAATAGGGCAGTACTAAGGATATTTTTTCTATTTTTTTCTCTTGGTATAAAAGGAAGTTTAAGCTAAGAGAGAAGTGGCTCCCTCTCTTTTCTCGAAATTTCTTAGATTTTTTAGGATCCCTCTCTCTCTCTCTTTCTCTCAAGCACGCGCGCGCCTGAAAGTGTTAACCTTGTTGCTCAGAAAACCTCTGATGAGCCTGATATATATCCCAAGTCTTAAATCTATCTTACTGAATGCTCGAGTTCAATAGATAATCTCTGAGATCTCTCCCAGGTCTTACATCTATCTCTCACTTCTGTCTTTCCCCTACAAAAAACTGAATCTTTACCGAATTGTATGTACTCACGAACGATACGGGACCTTATGTCCTAAAAGAATTCAAAATTTAGTTTTTATCAATAAGACCATTTTAAATAGAAATTAATATATACCATACATATTACACAATTTTATTTTGTGTCATATGATCTAATGATAGTCAACTAAGATATGATTGTTTAATTGATCTTTTGAGGAATTCAAAATTTACATCAATTATATCATCAATTATCATCATACAACACAAGTAATTACAAAAAAATTCTATAAATTAAACCTCTGACAAAAATATTTTTAATTTGTATATATGTAAGAGTCTTTATAAGATTCATTGATACTCTTAAATATAACAATTCAAGGTTAAAACATAAACTAAAGTGTTTTTAAAGGAGCATAATTTTTAGCTTGCAAGGTTCGTGAACTTAAAGTTGATTGGCTGTTAGGTTCCTCTTAGTGATAATAATTTCTAACTCGCAAGTTATATATATTACTAAGAAGCTCATAATTAATATAGATCATAAAATCTTAATCAACATTTAAGCTCATATGATTAATAAACTCTTATTTTTTATTGATGTTAAGCTTATTTTAGTTCTAAAATTTTATAAAGGTAAATAAGGAATTAGAATATCATCTTAGAAGTTATAATATAAACCACATTTAAATTTAGAACTGATGAATAGTATGTATTTGAATTGCTCATTTATTTTAAGCACTCTTGTTGGTAGCATCATTAAAGTATAATAAAGTTGATCAATTCAATTAGCTATATAATATTATTGAATTTAACCTTCTGAATTCTTACTTCAAAAAGAAAGATATTGATAATTACTTTAAATATTTGAAAATCATCAATTAAAATCCAATTTTTAATCATTAATGTATATTTATCAAAAAATTTGTGGTTATCAATTCATACATTTAAATTCATCATTATCAGAGTAGTTATCTTTAACATTAGTTATACAAGGTAAAGAGTTTGATTCCTGGTTTTTAGATATTTAAGATTCAACTTTACTATTAATTTAATGAAAGTATATAATGATAAAATCTAGACACGTTGAATTTTGGGAATAATATGGAGAATTCTTAAGTTTATTATTCTAGATATAAAATTATTGAATAAGCATAATATTTGACAATGCTATTTTTATGAAGGATTTATATTTTTCCATGGTAAAAGCTCATATTTAAGTTGAGCCTTAGGGGGACTTTGGTAATTGTAGGCCATTTATTTACTTAGGAGAAATAGCTCTCATGTATGGAGTAATTTCATAGCTTCTTAAGTTAACTCAAAATAAGATTCCTCTAATCTTATCATTAAGTTTGCATAAAAAAGTTAGTCTACCTATTAATTAATTAGTTGACCATGCATGTATTTTAATGGATAAGTTTTCTAATTTTATTAATTTATCAACATGTTGAGTTTCTAACTTTCAATTGATACTAACTTTAAACAAAAAAAATTAACTATTTTCCAAATTCTAAATCATTGAATCACTAAGTTTTTTTAATAGATCAACCTTCCCATGTTCTTTATGATAGAATTTTGTGCATACAAATAGAAGGACTAATTCTTTTAATATCTGCTAAAGTCTATCCAAAAGTTTTTTATATTTTTCTAACATCTCTATTAATTTTTGTTCTTGAATTTCTATTAATTCAGAAGATACAATAACAGGCAACGTAGATGACTCTCCTAAAAACACATATTTTAAATGGGCAAGTAATATTTTCAGTTCAAGTTCAGGTGGTTTAATACTTGAAGAAATAAGATTTTTATTATCATTTTCCAACAAATCTAAAGTTTCAAATTTGCCCTGAATATAGTCTAAATCTTCTTCTTTTATTTCGTCCTTGTTTTCAAAAAATTCTCCTTGCTTTAATTTGTCTTCAAACTCAGTCTTAAATTGCTCATTACTCAGATAATCAGTTACTTCCATTCTAAAACATTCATTATCGTTTTCTATTGTTGTATATTTTATAGCTTTTGTAATGTTAAATGTTACTTCTTGATCATTAACTCTCATTATTAATTCTCATTTTTGCACGTCTATTACAACTCTCCCTGTTGCAAGAAATGGTCTTCCCAAAATAATAGAAATTTTTTTATCTTCCTCCATATCCAATACTATAAAGTCTACAGGGAAAATAAATTTATCCACTTTTACTAATACATCCTCTATAACTCCTTTTGGATACGTTATTGATTGATCAACTAACTGAAGAGTTATAGTAGTAGGGGAAATCTCTCCCAAATATAAATAGTTAAAGATCGATAAAGGCATAAGATTGATACTCGCTCCTAAATCACATAAAGCTTTTCCAAAAAAAAACTTTTCACCAATAACACAAGATATAGTAAAACTACCAAAATCTTTTAATTTTTCAGGAAGCTTTTTCTGAATAATAGCACTCATTTTTTACTGAGTGTAACAGTCTCATGATCTGTAAACTTCCTTTTCTTGTTTAGTATATCCTTCATAAATTTCACATAACTTGACATTTGTTCCAAAGCTCAACAAAAGAAATATTTATCGTTAATTTCTTAAGTATTTCCAAAAGTTTTGTAAAATTTTTATCTTTGCTCTTCTGCTTCAGTCTTTGAGGAAACTGAGATAATGGTTTTTCTAAAGGACATTGCGCTTGTTCATTTTCATTTTGGTCTCTTTCTATTTCTTCCTTCTCTTCATCAACTTCAGTTTCTCTTTGGATCCTTTTTTCAACTTCTTTTCACTTCATAATTGAATAACTTTAATTTGCTCTTTATTTTCATCTTTCGGATTAACTTCCACCGTACTTGGAAGAATTCCAGAGGTCTGTTACTGAGTGCAGTAGCAATATGTCTTAATTGATTTTTCAATATTTCTAATAGCAGCTTTGTTGACCTCACTTTTGGTTGAGGTCTAGAAACTTCTTTAGTAGCCTAGGTCTAGCCATAGGACTTTCCTATTGACTAGTCTTAGAAGAAAAGGTACCCTCACCATTAGAAACTCAAAACTCTTTTCTTTACTCAACTTGAAGTTCCACATATTGGTCCTAACCTCTAGCACTTAGTAGGTAGGATCA